ATCCCAAAAATATAATTTTTTGGAAATTAATTGTAAGCAAACAACTGCCGTTGACATTAATTTTTATCTTAAATCCGGTTTATGTACATTTTTCTTCTTTTTTTTTTTGCAAATTTTTGTTCGCATCCTAAAAGTATGCAATCATGAATATTCATGTATTAATTTCAATTAGATAATGTAGCCATCAGCCAGCTTTTACTAGCTTTGATTCTTTTCTGGTCGAGTTTCTTTGTCAACTTTTGCTGTCTACCAAATTGCCTTGTTAAAATTAACTCTTGCATACGATTTGGGGCATCAAATCTTAACAACACGAAACCTACTATTTCAAATATTTCAATTTGAAAACCTAAGACACAAAATTTAATATGTAATGGACGCAATGTTGGTATAAGCGAAAGTAAAAAATTTCGATCATATGAAAAAGAAAACAGCAGACGCCAGAAGATCATCTTTAACTATTTATAACTGTTCATTCTACAATTTAAATTTTTATAAGTAATATTAAAAAAAAAAATATGTAAAATAATTTTTCTGTAATTCATTTGAGTACTTGAAAACAATTCTTTAATTTAATGAAAATATCAATCACCAAAAGTTATTGTTGTAAATTAATGCAAAAAAAAAAATGTATTAAGTAAAATTCACTTTTAAAATAAATTTATAAAATATACCATAAAGCTTTTGTATTAAAAAATATATAGATAAAAATTAAATATAAAAATCATATAGAGTATAGCAAAGGATAAATTATGTAATAAGAAAATTGTAAAACAAAATGGTTTTTTCAAAAAAAAAAAAAAAAAACCAAAACTTGAACAATAACACTCCATAAGAATATGAAAAACGTTCATTTTTATAGTGATAATGACGATTTATGGTTAAATATCCTGTCAATACGAGGTCAATATGAAAATTTTAAAAATATTTCGAAGTTTTTTTCTCTTCTTTTTTTTTTGTTATTATTTTCCACTTTATTTTCCACTCATCCGATACGCATTCTATATATTTTCATTTAAATATGCCCTTACCCTTGTAATTAAATCTTTTTTTTTTATACTTTATTATAATTTACCATTCATTATTTTTCCTCAATTGGTTACCATAAAATTTACGCGTACAAGTCCATTGTATACACGAATACTTATACAAATAAAATAATATTTATGGATGAGAAAAAACAAAATAAATAAACCGCAATTATTACAATATTTTTTTTTTTTTGAATTCTACATAAATGTTTACTCGTAAATTTTATTATATATATTTTGATTAAATATTCATGTAGGCATTAAATGTATATAATAAGAGCATTTTACTCCATATGTATGTAGTAAATATTTAGTTCAGTCCTTAAATTTAAAAATTGCAATCAATATTGTTACAAAAAAAAAAATTAAAACAATAGACTGAAAATTATGATGTAAATGAAATTATACCATTGTATATCAGAAACTCTATAGCCGGCTATAACCATTATATTACTGAAAAATTTGTATAATAAATTAAATTAAGAATATGTTTCAGTACCATTAATAGTAGAATTGCATTACCATTGGATACTCGTTAACAAACTGCGTTTTTTGAAAAGCAAAGAATGTAAGTAGTCTGAATGTAAGAATGTATTTTAACATCTGAGGTTGATCTTGCAAAATAGCTTCATTAAACGAAATAAAGTGAAGGTTCTAATGCTTAAAAATAATAAATTTTCATATGAATAACGAAATGCAAATAGGCATAAATAATGGCGCAAATTCTGCATACTTAATTCTAAATGATTTACTATAAACCTATAATCCCAAGTAATGCACATAATTGATTCTAAACTTAAAAAAAATATTTGTTTTTAGACTGTTACTATTTACGAAAATTTGCACTTCTTTGCTTGAAAGCATAAAAGTTAATTAGTAGAGCAGTTGTTTTAAAAACTGGAGCTATTATTATTTATATTATTAGCATATTATCTTGGGTAGACAAAGGCTCAGTTCTAAGTTGTTCAGTGCCCTACGCGGTTTTTCAAAAATGCCTTCCCTCCGTCTTTAGTTGCCCATAATAAATCATTTTCTTCTTATTTTATCATTCTGAATGCAAGATTTTTCTTTTGCAATGTTCGTATTGTAAAATGTTATTAAGTTAATTACGCTGTAAATAGAAGGCAAAAAATTTTGACAGACAGGCAAAAGAACAAATTTTTATTTTTAACTTAATGGAAATTTCTTTTTTTTGCCTCTGTAGGTCAGTTGGTAGAGCGTCCGCCTAGAAAGCGGTAGGTCACTGGTTCGAGTCCAGTTCGAGGAGAAAAAAAAATTTTTAATTAATTTTTCTGCCTTTAACTCGTTCCTTTGATTACGTCATCAATCTGTTCTGCAGTTGCATGAAGAAATTTCCATTAAGTTAAAATTATTAGTGTAATAAGCACATACTTATTAATTTCACAACTATGATGTTCTATTAGTAAAATTCATAACAAATTTTTATTTTAAAATTTAGTTTTTTTAAGCTTTCAAAAGCGCCTCCGTGTTTCGGCGCCCAATGCAATTGCTTACTTTGCATATATGCTAGATCCGCCGCTGAGTAGTCACATTAAATTTTTTTCAATATTTATATTTGACAATATTTTAACAAACCTCCTATATTGTATGTATTTACGGTGGTTATTTTTGCTTAAGTGAATCAAATTTAAAGAGTATGAGTACAAAAGTTTGTGATGAAATTGAAAATTTTATTTTCAATAGAATTCTGTGCCTATATTTTTTCATCAAAATTGGGAGAGTAAACAGAAATTATCTTAAGGTTAGGAGGATTTATTCAATAGTATTTCAGAAATTTTTCGCGGACTTCAAATTTTACATGTCTGATATATAAAAAATGATTTACAAAAGAAAATATCCCTTTTATATTTTTATATAATCGAAACAATAACAAAAAATTTTAAATATATTTGTGTATAATTAGTAAATTTGCATAGAAAAAAAAATTTTTTTCCTAAAAAAATTTTCCATAAATTGTATTTAATAAAATTTCATATTATTAAACCTAAAATTTAGAATTTAAACAAAATTTTTGAATATTTTTTTCATAAAATTTTTACTTTTTACAACCAGGCCTGTTCTAAATTAATACACATATAATTTACTATACAACAGAATATTATTTAAATTAAAATAGGGAAGAGCAAAAAGAAAAATTCCATCATGATTTCATATTTCATGTGGTAGTTATACCTATACATGTAAGCACATACATGCATAAAAGTAAACAAAATGATGAAAATTGGTTACCACAATCAAATAAAAATAATAAAAATATTAAAAAAAAAAACGAAAATGTTGACCTTAATGAGGGTTTTTATGTTTTAATAAATAATGGTTTAAACAATTTTTATTTAAATTATAATTGTTTTAAATATACTATTGTGTACACACAAAATGGATAGGGGTCAATTTAACAAAAAAAAAATTTTCAATTTTGAATAATAAATAAATATAATTTAAAATAATAAAATAAAAATTACAATAATAATTATATTATGTATTTTAGAATTTATTTAATTTAATTATTTTTAAAAAAAAAATTTTGTTGTATATTTCTAATGCTACTTTTCAATCTTTAATATGAAATGGTTAGTATACATTTATAGGATCTGCATAATATTAAAAGGGCTATTAGGAATATTTTTGTAGAATAAAAAAAAAACAAATTATTTTTTATTAATTTATCAATAAATTTTAAATATTAATAATTTAAACAATTTAATATTTTTTTTTATAAAAATTATTTCAACATTTTTTTAGGGTTAAAAAGTTTAAAATTACAATTATTAGAGAATTAACCTTGTATCCTTTATAAAAAATATGAACACTACGTTTTACAACAAAAATTTTATACAGAAGCGATATACCTTTAAAAAATTAGATTAGAGTTATGAAATAAAAATATCTGACATACAATCTCTGACATTAGTCACTTAATTTAAAATATTTCAAAAAAAAAAAACTTAATTGTAAAATTTGAAATTTTCATGCTTTACTAGTTATGCTATTCAGGTTTTGTAAAACAAAATGACGTCTCAAAATTTAATATAAAACTAGAGTAGATAGAATTGGCCATGTAAACTTTGTGATATCAGTACGAATTACTGATTTTAAGAGTTATATTATATGAGATAATTGCCACACTATTTCATATGATTTTTTTGTTTTCTTATATAGTGCATGATAGTGTATGACAGTTATCATGAGCGCTCACGATATCTCAACAGTTTTTGCATAAAATAGTTGCTGTTTTATACCTTAAGTGAGGTTTCTAAGATATAACCGAATAAACATTGAAGTCTTACAACAACACATAACAGCCCTAATAATATATTTGCTTGGGCGAAATTACCATATTATAGTCAAATAACTTTTGAAATTGTAGAGTAGCTATCCGAACCACCGTCTCGATTACATTCAATTCAAATAGGGTTTGAGCATTTATTTTATTATAATTCATTTTAGGAAATTTGATAACCATAGCTCAATGAATTTTTGATGGTTATCGTTGGGATGGATGAACATACGGAAAGATATGGTTAGATCGACTCAGAATTCGATACTGATTAAAAACGTACATACTTATGTTTACATTTCAAACTATAATTTCTTAGTGTTACAAACAACAGGGCAAATTTATAATGTCCTTCGAACATGCGTCCGTGATGCTATCATGAAGAAGTTTTTAGTTCAAATTATTTCTATTTTAATATTCAACAGAGCTAGAAAATCGAAACTGTGAAGTTTGATATCATAATATTATACAGTGCACAAGATGTGGATAATCAGATAATGCTCAACATTTGGAGCGAAATATAGTAAAAAAAAAAATTTATAAAGGTTGAGCATAAACTACGTTTTACAAAACTGCAAAACAGCACTTTTCGAGAAATAAATTATTAAAATAATCTGATTGTTTGATTTTCTTGAATTTTATTTTCCAAATTTTTTATAAAAAAAATAACTTACCTTGTTTTGGGGTACTCAATTGTTGTGGACTTTGCTGCTGTGAATGAATTTGATATTGTTGTTGTTGATTTTGTTGTTGCTGTTGATATTGAATATGTTGTTGTTGTTGCGGTTGTTGTGGCTGTGGTGTTTGAGATTGATGATGTGTTGGAGGCGGTGGCTGTTGTTGTATATGCGATTGATGTATTGCTAATAATTTTGTTTCATATGGTTTATGATTTTGTGTTGCTGCAGCAGCAACAACATTACCACCACCTCCACCTCCACCACCACCGCCAACCGATAATGGTTGGCTACCTAATGCTACCGTAGCAGCTGGCATCATTAATGTTGGCATTGCCAACATTGTGTTATATTCTTGATATTTAATTTTGAAAGATTTAATAAAAACGTTTAAGGAAAAAAAAAATTTTTTTTTTTTTTTTTTTTGTGAATATATGAAAGGTGTTGGAGCTAAAATTAAATTTTGGCTCTTTTTTTATTTTATTTTCTTTGTAGATTTTTTTTTTTTGGCTTTAGTTTTATTTTTCAATTCTACTATTGGGTATTGTTGTTTTTTTTTTCTTTAAATACAGTTCCTATATGTGCTATCGTTAAATTCAATGAAATAATTGAAATTTTTAACGTGCTTTCTCTTACGTTTTTGTTTGTTTCTGCTTATTGCAAAAATTATAAAATATTTTTAAAGATTTTTTTTTTCTTTTCATAAATTTTTGCGAAACGTTAAAGTTTTTCTTCTTTGTGTGTGCGTGTATTTTGTTTGAATTTTAAATTGTTTTTTTTTTTTTCTTGATTTTATATTGTAGTTTTTTTCCGTTTTTGGCAAAAAGTTTTCACTCCCAAAGAAAATTTTTTATATAGAAAATTTCTTATTTCTTAATTTTCAATGTTTTGCAAAATTTAAATTTAAAATTTGAAGATTTTTTTTCGTTTTGTCCTTTTTGTGTCCTTGCTGTTTTTTTTTCTTCAAAATATTAAAGTTTTTAAAATTTTCAAATATAACAAAAAAATAAAAGCTTAAAACTGTTAAACAGTAAATGATTTTTGATTTTTTTTTGTAGTTTTGTTTTTTTGTGTGATTTTTTTGGTTTTCTTTTAATATCCTTTTTTGGATTTAAAATTTTTCAAATTTTCCATGAAACCGTGAATAATAATAAATATTGCAACAAAATTTTCTTAATTATTTTCTTAATTCCTTTTTTTTTTGTATTAATTTGTAGATATATAAAGAAAAAACGATTTTATAACAATTTTTTTTTTTGTTTTGTAGAAATTTAATTTTTTTTTTTTTATTATCACAGAAGAATTTATATGCTATTAGTTGAGTTTTTTTTTTAGTTTGCTGTTCAAAGTTTTTAACAAAAATTTTTAGAAACAAAAAAAAAAGAGGAAAAATTTTTTCATTCGTCCTTTTTATTATTGGTTGTGTTTTTTTGACTTTTTAATTTTTCATAATTTCTTGCTGGTTTGCAGGATAATTAGTAATGATTTTATTATGTAATTATAACGAAAATGTGTTTGTGTCTTATTCGCTTTTAAAATATAATTTTTTTAATCATATTTTTTTGTTTTATAGTGAAGAGTTTGTAGTCAAAAATTTAAAATATTTTCTTTAATTATTTTGTATTTTTAATTTTAATAATTCGGGTACAACTTAATACTGATTTAAGAAAATTTTCTGATTGTAAGATTTCATTTGCTTTTTTGGATGATTTTCAAAATAGAATTTTTTTTAACTTAATTTGTATTTTTGGTTTGTTTATGGAACCTCTGACAAAAATTTGTGGTTTATGGATAAATTTTATAATTTATATAATTATTTTCTTTATATTTCCACTAAAAAATAATGAAAAATTATGAATACAACACACATAATAAAATGTTTTTCAAACAATAAACAAAAAATTCGTATAAAAATTCAGAAAAAGAAAGGGAAAATAATAATTTTATTATCCTAAAAATTTAAAAAAAAAATTAATTTAATCTTACAAGTATTAAACAAAAGGTCTTTGTATTAAATGAACTTTAATCATAGTTCTTCCTTCTAATCCATAAATATTTGAAAATCTTTAATATATTTTTCAAAATAACCAAGATTTATTTTGAAACAATTAATATTTAAAATAAAAATTTTTTAACTAATTATCGTAAATTTTCCATTAAATTCACAGAGAGCATTATTTAATCGCAATTATATATTCGTTATACTGTTTCAGATTAAACTAATATAATATTTAATTGAATGCTGAAACGGCATAGATGAACAGTAACTGCTAAAATACATTAATTTTTCTCTAAAATAAAAATGGTGTATAATAAAATTTCATTAAAGAGAATTTAAAAATATGACAGCAAAACATGATTTTCTCATAAATTTGATCTAATTTTAAAATGCAGCATTATGATCTCTATAATAAATCAGCATCAAATGCAACTTTATCATCTTCAAAATAAATCAGGTAGATAATAGTTTATTTATCAATAAAATTAAAATTTATTCGAGCGAAATATTTAATAAAATTTTCGTCTATAAAGCAAACCATCTATATAAAACGAAAATTAAAGAATTGCTCTAAACCTTCTCATTAAGAATATTACGCTTATTCAATCACAAACAAAAAAAAAAAACACGTTAGTAATGCATAAAATACCTTAATAACAAACTTAGTGAGTCAGTGAGTGAGTGAAAATTAATTCAAATAAATTCTTTAAAATATTTCCTATAATTTTTCCAGAAAATATTTACTTGACTGGGATTACATTTTTTGCTTTTTTTTTGGCACACCAAAAAATTTTTTACGAAATTCTACTTTTGATCCTTTTATGAATATTTTTTTTTATTATTATTTTCCCAACACCATTCTTCCTCCCCCACTCCTCCAGCAATAACTTTAAGAAGAGAAAAATAGAGAGAGCGTTTAAATAGCAATATAAGTTTCACTGTTTTTTAATTTTATTTTTCGAAATTTTCTTATTGTTTTTCTCTCTCCTTTTTCAGACTTGTTCCAATATATACGATATTTTTTGTGTTATTCTGTTTTTTCCAACATTATTATAAAGAGGATATCGAACTTTTTCTACACTTAATCCTAAAAAACACATTATAATATTCAGTATTTTTTTTCTTGTTCGTTTTTATTTTTACTTTGCATGTTTCTTTACTTGTTTTGTATATCTAAGACTAACAAAAGACACAGTTATATAAAGAGATCCTATGTAAACAATGTCCTTACCAAAAAAAAAAAAATATACACCATACACCTAGTCCTTATTATTATATACCTTGAATGTATATGTATATACTTTAAAAGCTATCTAGTTTGCTATCTAGTTAGTAAAGTAAAGTACTTTTTTTTATATACCTTTCATTCATTTCATAACTAACTACGTAAAGGAAGTCATAATAATAAGACTGGTTTGGTAAAAAAAAAACAAAAAATTAGGGAGAAAAATGAAACAACGAATAACATAAACAAAAATGAAGAGTAAAATAATATGATGATAGTATATGTTATGACAGTAAATGACAGTGTATATGTTTATATTTTAATAAGCTAGTTGGCGTTATTGTTGCAAAATAGGTAGGTGTATTGCCTTGGGGCTTATGATATAACAAGTTATGAATATTTTTCTTATATTCGTTCCTCCTTTGTTTTCTTTTTTTTTCAGTGTATATTTTTGATTTTAATGTGTACTTTGTTGTTGTTGTTGTTGTTGTTGTCGTCGTCGTTTTTATGTCATTTCTAGTTGTTTTCATTTTGTTGGGGCAAATTTTTATGTAAACACACAAAAACAAAAAAATTTAATTTCTTTTGTTTTTAAGAAAAACAAAAAAAAAAAAAAACAATTTTTTGTTTTTGGGTCTCGTTTTGTTTGTTTTTCTTTTTATTTTATGTTTGAAGTTGTAACGAGCAGAAACACTAAAATTTTGTAAACGTTTTCTTAAAGTAGTCAACCTTTAAACAAATTTTATATAGTTTTCAGTTTTCCATTTCTTTTCTTCTTTTTTTTTGTTGATAGTTTGTAAAAATTTAAAAAATTCTTTCAAGTTTTTTATAATTCAAAATAATTAAATTGTCTTTTAGTATAGAGAGATTAGTTAACTGTGAGACAGAAACTTTAAGTGTTTTTAAAAATTTAAAATTAATTTTGTTATTTTAGTTACTTAATATTCTGGTAGGTAAGTACGGCTATAAACTTTTGCAATAAGAATGGTGTTAATTAATTTGTGTTTTATAAGTGTATGACTATGGAAATGGAGGAATGTAAAAATATAAAATTTCATCATGAAATTTTAATAGTATATAACTACGTTTTAATAGTTATAATGTTTACGAGAATTTGATGACATCACATATATGTATAAAAGTTATTCCTTAATATTTCCTAATATTTTGGCACTTAATTTGCCTCATAAACATAAGCAAATCAAAATTTTACTATTATCGCGCTATTAATTTATTGGAAGAAGATGAAGTAGAAAACTTTTCATGGCAGGTTTAGTAGCAAAAATTTGCAATCATCCACACAGCAAAAGCAATATAAGAGAAAAATTGTAATTTTGTAACACAAGCCAGTAGTGGGATGATGTTATACAGAGCATATTAAAATTTTTTGGAGCTTAAAAGCGAAAACGGAATTTATATTTTTGGATTTAAAAAAAATCAGAGCTCCAATATTAAATTTGAGGAAAAAAATTGGACGGCAAAATCAAAAAATAGAGCAAATTGACTGACCAATATATAAATTATAAAAGGACAGCATTGGGAGTATTAGTGGAGAACCCACTTTTGCTTTTTATTACGGAATTATTTAAGGAAAAATTCTAAATGAAAATTGGGAGTCCAGGAAAAGCATGGTGTCATTATTCCATGAGTTTAAATGTGAAATGTAGACGACATTTTCGTGATAATGAATAGGGAATATTTGAAGCGATGGTATATTCGCATAAAAATATTAAATTCAAATTTTGAGAATGAGGAAGATATGAAACTCTACCTTTCTTGGATATATCGGCAGAAACAGAAAAAACTGGATTCAACATTTATAGAAGGAAAACCGGTACAAAACGATTCAATACGAAAGACTCGAGCAATTCCATAAAACATAAGATGACGGTTCTATGATTCTATGATCTCTAAGATAAATATTGATTACACTGCTGAAATGAGAAAAAAGAAAATATTCTAAAGAGAGGAAATTCAAAGAAACAGATCATCAACTGTATCAATAAAAGAAACAAAAAAAAAAGAGGAAGAAAAAAGAGGAAAACAGAAGCATGCTGTACAAACAATAGAAATCATTTTATTCCCATCAAAAACCATTGACATTGTTGACTTATAATCACCCAAGTGGAATCCGGAAATACCAATTATGGATTTTACTAAGCTTTGTTCAATGGAAACTCTAGAAGAGTATTGAAAGTTTATAAATTAATTCTCAATTATTAATTATCAAAATCAAAATTGAGTCAAAAACTTAAAAGAGATCATCAGCTCTATATCTTCATAATACAACGTAATTCAAAATTTTTCTTATATTTGAAATATTTTATAACATATGTACATTCTTTCTTTGATATAAAGTGGGGAACAATTTTAAAGAATTCAAATTCATAATTGAGTTATGCATTTTATGTAACATGTATTCTATGTGAATGCAAAATTTCAAATTCTTATAGGTTTACTTTGATTCAGCAGACCATACACTGAGAAAATAATTCTTTCTATTAAATGTACCGAAACATTTTATACAAACGCCTATGATCTGAAAACATCTGCTCGTATAAAAATGTTAAATTAATAACTTCTTAAGAGTTTTTAAATAAAGTTGTTAAATTTTTTAATAACTCTTCCGTTTTCTGAAAATTTTATTATATCTATTTTACCAAGAAAGAAGACAATCACAAATAAATTTAATATAGTCTTTAAATAAAAACGAAGTAATAATATGAAAAATTTAAAAGCATTTAAGATTAATTGGCTATTACATGAAATGAGTTCTCATAAAAGGCAGAAAATATTAGGGAAATGTTATGTTCTTTTTCTTTTACTTTTTTAATCATCAGTACTGTACAAGGCAACTAAGCT